CCAGGAGCTCCTGCTGCTCGGCCTGCAGGAGATCACAGTCCCGCCCCCTTACCATGCGGCTCCGAGCGGGAGGCGCTCAGGCCACGCCACTGCAGCGCTGTCCGGGGCTGCTCCTGGACGCGGCGCGCTGAGGCGCCTGGGGATGGGGAAGGTGAAGGCGAAAGGTGGGGGGAGCCTCCAACATTCTCATGGGGGCCCCTGCGGGGCCTGGGGCAAATTGCCCCACTTGCCCCCCCTTCTGGGCGGCCCTGCTCTAGGTTGACTCTTTGCAGACTGACTGCTGAAAGACCCAGATAGCATACTTCCTTAGAGGGCCACTGTGATGGGTTTGGTCACAGAGAACCCCTTGGGACTGTCACCTGATGTGCTGAAATTGCCTCTGAGCCTGTTTTCCCTGATGGCTTGGGACTCCAGAACCCTGCCTTGTTGAGCAAGACACACTAGTCTGCTGCAACACAGACTCAGGTCTGAACCATGCCCCCAAAGCTGTAGGCTTTAACCGAAAACCACTCAGCAGGTTACCTATCTCCACTACACAGACACCCAGTTCCCAAACCCCAAATAAATCAGTTTTACTCTGTATAAAGCTTATACAGGGTAAACTCATAAATTGTCCACCCTCTGTAACACTGATAGAGAAATATGCACAGCTATTTAGTCTCCTAAGTATTAATCACTTACTTTGTGATTAATTTGTTTACTAATAAACAAAAGTGATTTTATTAAGTATAAAAAGTAGGATTTAAGTGGTTTCAAGTAATAACAGACAGAACAAAGTAAGTTACCAAGCAAAATAAAACAAAACACCCAAGTCTAAGCCTAATACATTTAAGAAATTGAATACAGGTAAATCTCACTCTCAGAGATGTTCCAATAAGCTTCTTTCACAGACCAGACTCCTTTCTAATCTGGGCCCAGTCCTTTCCCCTGGCACAGTCCTTGTTAGTTCCAGCTCAGGTAGTAATTTCTCAGGTAGGGGATTTCTCATGACTGGCAGCCCCCTTTGTTCTGTTCCACACCCTTTTATGGCTTTGGCACAAGGCGGGAATATTTTGTCTCTCTGGGTCCCCACCCGTCCTTCTAAATGGAAAAACACCAGGTTTAAGATGGATTCCAGTACCAGGTGACATGGTCATATGTCCTGTGAGACCCCAAGCCTCCATTCTTTCTGGCCTGACTCACGGGAACACAGGCAGGCTTACAAGTAAACAGAGCCATTTACAACCAATTGTCCTGGTTAATGGGAGCCATCAAGATTCTAAACCACCATTAATGGCCTACACTTTGCATAATTACAACAGGACTTCAGAGTAATACTTCATATTTCTAGCTTCAGATACAAGAATGATACATTCATACAAATAGGATGAACTCACTCAGTAGATTATAAGCTTTGTAGCAATACCTTACAACAGACCTTTTGCGTAAAGCATATTCCAGTTACATTATAGTCACACTCATAAGCATATTTCCATAAACATATGGAGTGCAACGTCACAGTCACTACTAACCTGCAAGCAAGACAGGAAAACCCCTGAGAATTTAAAGTGATAGGTTATAATTTTAACACAATTTTCAATACACTACACAATCTGTCAGAAAAAGGCAGAATGGTCCATTCTGAAGCTGAAACTAGACAAATTCAGACTAGAAATAGGGTGCACATTTTTAACAGAGAGATTAACTATTGCCATAATTACCTAGGGACATGGTGGATTCTTTCTAAAACATCAGCTCTAGCTCAAACACAAGTTATAGCCAGGAGCAAGACGTCACTTACTCTCTCTCTCTCTTTCTCCAGAGAGAGAAGGGCCTGGCTGCAGGGAGCTTGAGACAGGGTACCTGAGTGGAGCAGGGCTGGGGAAAGGCAGAGGAGCTGGGGAGCTCCAGGCTGGAAAGCCCCAGGCTGTAGCCTAGCATTGGGCCTACAGGTACTGGGGGTTGCAGAGGGCAGCCCAGGGGTAGGCAAAGGCAGCAGGTCCAAACCCAACCTTGCCTGTGAT